GCTATTCTTGTATTTAACTCACTCAAAATTAATTTTAAACCATTTTTTACAGTTAAGGTATCGTGCACAAAATCAGTTTATTAACCCCCCCCCCCCTCACACACACACACAACAAACCCAATATAACGTTATATAAGAAATTGATAAATCACCAATTACATTGCTCTTGAACAATTATACAACTACTGCAAGTCTTTAGTAAAGACTACCAATAAACAAGTCAACGAAATTAACAACATATATAGACCTAGTTTTTAAAGATATAGATCCCACGTCACAGCATATACCGTCTCGTGATTCAAACATTTTGAAGAAGAAAAAAAAAGAAAAACGAATTAATTATAACAATAGTGTTTTATAACAATGTTACCAATGTTTCACACTATTTAACACGCCATATCAAAATGATGAACTTTTACCACGGCGCTATGTGCACGATCCCTCAGAAGATGTCCAGTAAGTCGTTAGTAGTTCACAAAACAGGTGAGATGAGTTCACCTGTACTCATGACTGTCCTAAATAAATGCAACGCACGTGTATTTTTTTTACCTTGACGTATTACAAACAAACGAGCCGACCCGCGGCGTATCATGCGCCGCTATTTAGTTGTTTTATTTTCTACTTTTCAGTAATTCATAATTTGTGAATTCGACAGTACCAATGCTGCCACTGAAACTTTAAAACACTATCAGTAGGTCGTTAAGGACGATACTACCCCCAACCTCCTTTCCCCCAACCCCTACCCTACACCCCCCCCCCTGTGAAAGCAGCCCCCTGTTAGTTACCTACCATAAGTTTAAAATTGTTTCAAACCAAATTATCTTCCCCTAATAGCCGTCACTAAACCCGGCTCTACGACTGTAAACATTTAGCGTGAACCAAAGCTCACCAGACCTTGTAGGGTTGGGGGTGGTAGGGAGCGCACTTACAGCTTGTTTTCTAGCGTCTACCAGAAGAGAATTATATATATACGAGAAAAATGGCCCGTTGAGGAAGGATACACCGGGCGCTAGGTTGATAGTGCTGTCTCTTTTCTCTAAACTAAAACCAACCCACCCCCACCCCCCAACACCCCCCAAAAAAACATGTCTACCGTCCCATTCAACGAAATATAATTATATACTTTTTCCAGTGTCCGCCCCCTCCCCGAAAATTCTACCCCCGCCCCCGAAAATTTCAAATACCCCCACCCCTCTCCGGGGAGGAAAAAGTTTAAACTAAAACCACCCCACCCCCCTCACACACACACACCACCCCCCACCCCCCCACACACACCCCCACACCCCCCCACACACACACCACCACCCCCCCACGCACACACCACCCCACCCCCCCCCCCCCCCTAAAAAAACATGTCTACCGTCCCATTCAACGAAATATAATTATATACTTTTTCCAGTGTCCGCCCCCTCCCCGAAAATTCCACCCCCGCCCCCGAAAATTTCAAGTACCCCCATCCCTCTCAGGGGAGGAAAAAGTCTGAAAGAAACACTGGTGTCGCGCTTAGCCACTACCCGAAATCGCGCTTAGCCACTACCCGAAGAATTGCATTAAAGAAATTGCAAGAAAACCACTTTTTAGATTAGACACATTAATTAGGCGGTAATTTTATTATAGAGTATCGATGAAGAAATTTCTTTTGAGTTGGGGAGGGAGGGGGGGCTCAGACGTTCTTACGCGGGGGGTGGGGCTTCGCCCCTACCCGAAGAATTGTATGCAAGAAAAACTCTTCGCGCAAACCATTTAGATTAGACAAAATTTCCTTTTTAATTCAATGTTTACTCGAGAATCAATGACGTCATATTACTGTGTGCACACTGTGTGCTTGAGATTATTTTCTACTCTATGCTAAATGTGACCGCGTCATACTTCGTTTTTCGAATTACTGTGCATGTTTTTATTTTGCTTGTGTTTTCTCTAGAGCGTTCTTGTCAGACAGAGCGTTCTTGTCAGACAGAGCGTTCTTGTCAGATAGACAGACAGCGAAACTATTAGTATTAACGAGAAAAATGGCCCGTTGAGGAAGGGTACAACGGGCGCTAGGCTGATAGTGCTGTCTCTTTTCTCTAATCTAAAACCAACCCACCCCCCCACACACCACCCCCCCCCCCCCACCCCCACCCCCCACCCCCCCCCCAAAAAAAAAACATGTCTACCGTCCCATTCAACGAAATATAATTATATACTTTTTCCAGTGTCCGCCCCTCCCAGAAAATTCTACCCCGCCCCCGAAAATTTCAAGTACCCCCACCCCTCTCCGGGGAGGAAAAAGTCTGAAAGAAACACTGGTGTCGCGCTTAGCCACTACCCGAAGAATTGCATTAAAGAAATTGCAAGAAAACCACTTTTTATATTAGACACATTAATTAGGCGGTAATTTTATTATAGAGTATCGATAAAGAAATTTCTTTTGAGTTAGGGAGGGGGGGGGGGGGGGGGGCTCAGACGTTCTTACGCGGGGGTGGAGCTTCGCCCCTACCCGAAGAATTGTTTGTAAGAAACTCTTCACGCAAACCATTTAGATTAGACAAAATTTCATTTTTATTCAATGTTTACTCGATAATCAATGACGTCATATTACTGTGTGCACTCTCCGGCTGGAGATTTTTTTCTACTCTGTGCTAAATGTGTCGACGTCATACTTCGTTTTTCGAATTACTATGCATGTTTTTATTTTCCTTGTGTTTTCTCTAGAGCGTTCTTGTCAGATAGATACATAGACAGACAGCGAAACTATTATATAGATAGATTGTGGTCTGGATGGTTCACTGGACATGTACGGTCATGTGCTGACAAGTCTGTGTGAGGGAACCACATCAGGGGTTAAAGCAAGGGTCTCATGGGCTAATGCAAGGGACCAATGGGCTAATGCAAGGGACCCATATCAAGGGCTAATGCAAGTGACCCATGGGCTAATGCAAGGGACCCATGGGCTAATGCAAGGGACCCATTGTCTAATGCAAGGGACACATGGGCCAATGCAAGGGACCCATATCAAAGGCTAATGCAAGAGACCCAAGGGCTAATGTAAGGGACCCATGGGCTAACGCAAGGGATCCATGGGCTAATGCAAGGGACCCATGGGCTAGTGCAAGGGACTTATGGGCTAATGCAAGGGACCCATGGGCTAATGCAAGGGATCCATGGGCTAATGCAAGGGACCCATGGGCTAATGCAAGGGACCCATGGGCTAATGTAAGAGACCCAAGGACTAATGCAAGGGACTCATGGGCTAATGCAAGGGGTCCATATCATGGGCTAATGAAAGGGACCCATTGGATAATGCAAAGGACCTATGGACTAATGCACGGCACCCATATCAAGGGCTAATATAAAGAATGCAAGAGACCCACTAAGTTCTGGCTAAGAATTGCACTGGTCACATAACCCTTACATATGCCGTGCTTAAGATACACAGCCACAAGCTGTCACGCCCTAAACGTGACTTTACTGCTTTAAAAAATCACGTTCGTGATGTTATTTTATTCCTAACGCGGTATCAAACTACAAAAAGTGCCTGCAGAAATCAATGATAAACTTTAAGTATAACAGTGAAACTACAACATATAACTAAACTTTACTTTGTTAAAATTATTCCTCAACTGTTTCTACAAACATTCCTTGTCTAAAGACAACTAGAACTAGTCAACAACTCTTATCATTTTTCCTACAATATTTGGTCTCTGGTAGCCGTGGAGGTATTAAATATCCTTTGACCTGTGAATGTCCAAAAACTGCAACTTTTGATGTTTGGACTATCGGTAATTTATGTAAATAGTTGAGACACTTTAAAAAATCTCCAAAAAATCCATAGGTTTTTATGGGTGAATGGTCATAATGTTGTGGAGGTGAGTGTTTCAGGTTTATAGAGCGAGGCGGATCGTGGAAGAAACAGGTGGAGTGTTTGGTGCAAGAACTGGCTTTTAGAAATAGGATTGTGTAGAGTATGTGCGGGTTGGTTTGGTAGCCGAGGGCCAGGGTCCACACAATGTGGGGGTGGTGGGAGTTGGTCCAGTCAATGTGATCGTGGTGAATAAATTAAAATTAGTCTTATCCAAAACCGTGGTGGTATAATATTAATAATACTTATGTAAGCATGAGTGTCCGATCTGGCTCTAAGAAACCAATATATAGAGAGCTAGACTTCTAACCCGAAAGTCTAGAGTTCGAATCCAGATTTAAATCAGTAGAACGTCATTGAGTCCACCCAGCTCTGATTGGCACTCACGTTAAGGGAAACAAAGGCGGCTGGGGGGGGGGGGGGGGGGCATAGTCTTGCCCACATTATTCCCTTGTATGCCGAAGTCACTGAAACATGATGATGAATAAGGTACACCCATATATATATATATATATATATATATATATATATATATATATATATATATATATATATATATATATATATATATATATATATATATATATATATAAATAATGTATATGTATGTGTGTTTATATATATATATATATATATATATATATATATATATATATATATATATATATATATATATATATATATATATATATATATATATATATAAATAATGTATATGTATGTGTGTTTATATATATATATATATATATATATATATATATATATATATATATATATATATATATATATAAATAATGTATATGTATGTGTGTTTATATATATATATATATATATATATATATATATATATATATATATATATATATATATATATATATATATATATATATATATATATATATATATATATATATATATATATATATATATATATATATATATATATATATATATGGAATAAGTCAGTGCGTCGACTACACAAGGAACCAATTTTAAACTCAGAAAACGGATGGTATTGCAACATCTGGCATTCAAGATTTCGACACAAGAAAATGAGTTAATTTAAGATCAAGAAATTTACGACGTCTTGCATTTTGCCGTCTTGTTTGTAGATGTTATTAAAATGCTAATGGATTAATCTTCAAGCAAAGTAAGGTTTTCTACCTCAGCTGTATATATACCAGAAGTTCTTGGCCTTTCCTTCATAGTGAACACTAGTCTCACTTCTACACAAAGGTAAGTGTCTTGAACTATTTATTGTTTATTTCATGTTGTTATTTTACTATCAAGTATCATGCCAAAAATATTTAGTGTTATACAAGAAATAGAAATTTAATAGCATCTTATTGTATTAACGTATTCTATATATAAAAGCTATACGGTCGTTTTGATAAATAATAAACCTGGGCAAATTTTGCCCAGTATTTTTTTCAGTCATATATCCGTGGATGGGGGAAGGTTTATTGAAAATATATACTTTAACCAGTGCCCCCCCCTTAATCCCCTCTTCCCTGAGGTTTCAAGAACTGAATAAAGCAACAACCCTAGAATTTGTCTGACAAAGCTAAATGACATTGTGACGAACTAAACTCATTAAAGCTCAGACAAATCCGCTTGCTGTACATGCAGATTTGTTTTGGCACGAGAAGTCTTTACATATCAGAATGTTGGAGACAGTGTCCATTGAGCAGGTCTACGTCCTGTAGATATTATTTGTAGGTTGCAAAACCTCCCCGCGGTTGTACAAACATGTTATATATATATATATATATATATATATATATATATATATATATATATATATATATATATATATATATATATATATTGCAAACAATATTTGCACATCACACGAGCAGCCGTCGAGGCCTGTACAAGTTACATCCTCAACAAATCAATTCGACAAAACATGATTTACTTTAACTGTACGTTTCTATATTTTAAAAAGCAAATTTCACCTTTAGCAAGTTTACATTTTTTTTAATTTTAATGACAGAAAAGTTTAAATTATCTATATGGTTACTATGTTTACTAACTGAAATATATTCATGCTGAAAAGCATTTGTGAAAACTGCAGTTCCATTTTCACCACGCTGGTATTTTTTTGTTTGATTATGAAAAATGTCATGTTTTCGTATAAAGTATTTTTTTAAATGTACAGTAATATTTCAAATCAGGCAAATTTTCAAAAAGTTTATGACTACCAAAATCGCATCTATTTTTTATAATCTTTTCTATTAGGATGTGAACCACTTAAGTCCAGCTTTTCAGCTAAGTTAAAAAAATAAGTGTCATTAGCATCACATCATTGATTGCTCTACCTCCAACAAGCATCTTAAAAATGAACAACTATCTCTCTCTCTCGTCCAGATGAATTGGCTTGTAGTGGCCCAATGTGTGGTCTACCTAGCTGCGGCTTCCGTACATGCGCAGTCGTCAGGTATCACGTTTGATGCCGTCCCCCAAGATGGCGCCGTGTCTCTAACATGCGCCGTGTCTGGTAGCGGAACTCTCTACTCCGTCTCCAGCCTCGTCATAGAGAAAGAAAACTCGGTAAGTCTCAGCTCTGTGTTACCACCAAGCTGTTTCCCCATATTTTATAAAATAAAATTGTATGTTTTGTCAACGGAGAAAGAACTCGCTCGCTGTTAGGAAACAATAAAAATCGAATTACGACATTTGATCTTGAACAGCCGTTTTTTTTTGTAAATAAAAATTGTGTTACACAAAACCTTTATGCTGTGTTACGTAAAACCTCACTGCTGTGATATACAAAACCTTTATGCTGTGTTACGTAAATCCTCACTGCTGTGATATACAAAACCTTTATGCTGTATGTTCTCTTACACATGAAGTTTCTGCTGTGTTACACATTACCTTCCTACCAGTGGCGTAGGCAGGGGGGGGGGGGTTGGGGGGGATTATAACCCCCCCCCCATAGACCCCTCGGTATATATATAAAAAGTATGAGGGGGGGTGCAAATCGAAAGTTTGTCCCCGGGTAAAAATTGGAACCCCCCCCCCTTGAGACGATCCTGGCTACGCCACTGCTTCCTACTGTGTTACACATGACCTTTCTGCTATATGCCCTTGTGTTACACAAGACCTTTGTACTGTGTTACACATGACCTATCTGCCGTATGACCTACAGGCCGATGTCTACCAGCTACTGATCAAGTACAACAAAGGAAGCCCCGTAGAGTTCAGCAAACTCCTGACGTCTAGAAGCGTCAAGATTGGCACCACAGGTGGCTCGGCCTCCACCGTGCAGGTGACGGTTGGCGTAGCAGACGGCAAGTTCAGATGTGTCGTCGCTGGTCAGACCAAATCAGGGGCAAGTACTCCGTATTTTTTTTTAAAATTGTTTTGTAGAAATCTATATCTAAAAACATTTTTTAAAAGATTTTCAGGGTATAAAAACAGAAGTAGTAGAAGTGCGCATTGTTAATGATGAAATCATACATTTATGTAAAGTTCAGTTTAAAGAAAAGCGTGGGTCTATTCCTAAATATTAGACACTATTATTTAAATTACTATAAAGAAAAGCGTGGGTCTCTTCCTAAATATTAGACACTACTATTTAAATTACTATAAAGAAAAGCGTGGGTCACTTTAGTATCTATTGGATACCTTTACTAATATTTAGGAAGAGACCCACACTTTTCTTTATAGTAATTTAAATAGTAGTGTAAAATTTTATTTTCTACTTTTTAGTGCATTAATACATAAAAGCTTGGTATTAAAACGTTTTTTTATGAATTTTTTTTTCAGTACTTTACATGTTTTTATTTACAATAGAGTTACATGACCAAAAACCATTGTCAAGCTTTTATTTAACTCACTTCCTCTGTCGTCAGTCTGTCTAGATAGAAAAGTCCGTGCGAAATTGCAGGCACTTCTAACTGACAGATACGGTTCATAATTGGTCAAATTTTTCCATAGGGCTCCGCCAAAGGGGAGGCGACTGTCACAGTCTCCTCTGAACAAGGCCCAGACGGTGAAGGTTGCGCGTGTGAAGACGAGTTGTCTGCCCTTGAGAACAAGTACGACCAGAAGATTGGCCAGCTAGAGCAGTCGGTCACCAAAACCGCCAACATCTACGTCAACGGGGGTGACGGCTCCCTGGGCGGTCTGGACGGGGAGCAGTTGTTGAAGTAAGGAGGGGGGAGGGGCGTTCTCATAATCTTTGTCCATCGTTGTCCACAGTTTAAAATATTCCTGCCATCCAACATTGATCTGATTGAAAGCTACCATTAGTAGTTTAGAATATTTTTTAAATACCATAGTTCTCAGTTCAGCAGTTAAAAACTTTCTTTCATCCAACATTTCTCTAAAGATCTCTAGTAGGCAATTTGGAATATTCATTACATTCCACAGTAGCTCTCATAATCCCTGTCCAGCAGTTTAAAATATTCCTGCCCTCCAACATTTCTCTGATTAATAGCCATCATTAGCAGTTTAGAATACTTCTTACATTCCACGGTAACTCTTATAATCTCAGTCCAACAGTTCTTCTTCTTCTCGTTCTTAATTTTAGTGTTGGAAGAGATCCCCTCCAACACAAATAAGTATAAGCGTCAACTGGTTATGGTCCATTGAGGCCCTTGACTCCAATTTCAGCCTGCTTTTCTTTTTTGGATTTGCTTCCATAGCCTTTGTCCAACCAAGAACAAACTACAAGGCAGCGGTTGTTTGATTTTGGAGTTTTCTCTCCTAGAAGAGTGTCTGTCCCCAGCCTCATCTGCCCGAGGGTTCGACCTCGAGACTTTTCGGTTTAGCAACCATGAGCTTTACCGACTCGACCACGCCTACCCCTCGTCCAGCAGTTAAAAACATTCCTTCATCCAACATTTCTCCAACGACCTCTATTCAGCAGTTTAGAATATTTCTTACATTCCACAGTATCTCTCATAATCTCTGTCCAGACAGCAGTTAAAAATATTTCTTACATTCCACAGTAGCTCTTATAATCTATCTCCAGCAGTTTAAAATATTCCCTCCACCCCCCAGGAGCACAGTCTGGCCCGAGGGTTACTTTTCTCTCATCCAACCGGAAACCGGCTGCCCTAGCATGGGCTTCTCCTTCCTGGACTGGAAGAACGACGGCTACCGGCAGTTCCACACCGAATCCTCATCATCCACCAACCAGGACAACATCACGGCCAACGCCAACTTGAAGAAACCATACCAGTTAAAGAACGGCAACAACAACTTCATCGTCCTCAACTTCTGCACCATCATCGTTACCCACCCCGGTCCCAAATGGCCATCCGGCTCTTACTGTATTCTGATGTACGCCGGCGTCTGTCCTGCCGGTTTCCACGACGGCAACATGCTCATTGACGAGGAGAACAACCAGTACTCGGGTAGGTACGGCGGCCACATCCCCACGGCAGGCTTCGGAGGTGATTCAAGGTTGTACTTCTGCTGTCGGCGAGACGGGAAACCGGAAGCGCCGGTGTACCTGCCGACAGCGAAGCCGTTCTACCTGTTCCGGTTTGGTGACGTGTGTCAGCGGGTGGCCAACATGAAGGTCACCCCCGAGACCATCGTCCTTGACACGGAGGACAGCGGCGCCAACATCGACCAGTACTCCAACGAGTACCACCCCGACGGTAAACTCAACAACGTCGTCTTGGAGATGTGCTACTACTACAGGTAGAACACCTGTCTCATGTGATACTAATCGTGCCATCGCTCGTTAATTTTTTTGTTTTATTTATTTCATTAATTTAGATTAATTATCAACCTAATAGTTTTATCTTGGACTTTCAACAGATATTTTGGAAATTATTCTCATAACCTATTGTAACTGATAATTAAAATTTCGTCAAAAATAAAACAATTTTTGAAAACGTTGCTTTTGTTTGTTTGTTTATTAGTCCTACTTCAAATAATCAATTACTCTTCTATCAATGTCCACAAACCATAAATGTTTATCAATGGGTTACAATTAGATCAATGTGTATCAATCAATACATCCTTGCACTTAACAAGAGATCAATGTATCGCTAAGATGAGGTAGGTAAGCCTTCAGCAGTCTGGAAAGAGGCTTGATGCTCAAATGAACATTTCTACGGTTTAAAGTCGTTTAAATTTCACAAATACCTAGATGTCATGTAGACACGAATCTGGGTTTTGAGTGATGCTTGTGAAGGAGAGAATCCCTAAGAGTAACCAGCAGATAATTCTTTTAATATCTTTCATGATAAAAAGACGCAGGCTTGAAATCACTCGACAGTAGAGCTTTTTCTAGGCATCACTTCTGGGTCGGGGGGGGGGGGGGGGGGTATAAAGACACCCCCCCCCCCCCCCATGGAATGGAATTTATATAGAAAATCTATACTTTTACCAGTGTCCGTCGGCAGCCGAGATATATTAAAAAAATAGCTTTTTGTGGTCCTGATAACAAATAACAAGCTACGATAATACATTTTCTGGAAGTATTCTTTAATAAACATCCAAGAAAATGTAGCTTTTCATTCCGATTGAATAAATCTTTACAATGGTGGTTGGAAATGTCGACCGCCTGGTTGTTGTGCAACAGGCGGTTGACCGAGGCACTATGAAATTAAACGGAAGCTTTGACGAATGTACGAAACAAAAAAATTGAGATTGTGTGTCGTGTGGTAGAGCTTACAATTTCAAAGCCAAATGTGTCCGGTGTGTGTAACAATATCTCTTCCTGCCCCCCACCCCTATACTTGAATTCTGAACATCACTTGAAAGTAAAGTTCTTCTTTAGAACTAGTGATCCATTGGACAGACGAAGTAGACCTCTTATGATTCTTGATTTCCGCATATGAATAGATAATGTGTTCAGCAATATGCCCAGCCGCCTTTACTTTCACTAAAGTAAGTCAGGTACTCATCAGAGCTGGGTTGGCTCAGGGACGTCCTACTGTGGTTCGCACACGTGACTGTAGGCAAGCAGCCAAACACTCTACCATTCGACCACGCCTTTCCCAATATCAACGGTAGCCTTGATTAAAATTACTAATTTTTGTAAATATGTGATTTATAAAAACAGTAACAGTGTAACACATATGGTTACGAGGCCAAAGGGGGATAAAACTATGAAGTTTTTATTCATTGGGTTGCGGCCCCTGTGGGACTGCAACTGAACTGTTGACGTTTTTTTTTATGCTTTTGTGAGCGAAATTACCTGTGTTCCATGTCATGTGACATGTGCCTAGCCGTGTCGCACACGCAAGGCTGCTGTCTGTGGACCAAGATGTAGACCTAATGAAGGTAGTGTAGATATTTAAATTATGTTTGTTAAAATACTTATTTATGTATTCCTGCTAGTGCTGCATGTGCACACTAGTTAGGGTGATGTATTAAATTAAGTATTTATTTTGTAGTACTACTTATTGGTACTTGTTGGCAGTACTGTGTACTGGCCGAAAACATAATTTATTGTACCCGTGTATATTGTAGCTTACACGTGGTGTTGTCCTGAATGTAACTTTTTTATTTTACATTTGTTTTAGGGCTACAATGAATAAAAACTTCATATTTTTATCCCCCTTTAGCTGTTAACCATATGTGTTACAACAGCAACAGGCACAGTAGCATCAGCAGTAACTGTTACAGTAACAGTAACAGTAAAAATAACATATTTTAGTTTACAATAATAAACTTTTCTATATTGCACAACAATAATACTGTTTTAGTTTCCACAAAGTTTTGCCTAAAGTATTACACACCCGTTTTAAATTTACAAAATTTTCTGGACGTGTTTTGCAACAAAACAAAACATTAAACTTTTACCGAGCGAAATGAAACAAATCACCCAAATTCAGCTTCATCTTTGTCGATGAGATCGCAACATCTGTCGTTGTCCTGACAACAACTCAAACGTGTTTAAAATTCTTTCATCAAAGACCCAGTTGCGCATATTTATTTCCGGTCACAAGGCTGGAACTAATGAGGATGAGACAGTAATGAGTTTTTAATTATCTCTGGTAGTTTCACAACCAAGCGGCCACAGTGTATATATGCCAGGAAAATTGTCCCTCTTCGTTCATCTTTTAGCGGCAACTCTGTCGGGACATCAGCACAGCTGAAAGAGTAAGTACCGCAACATTCTTGTCAACTACTTTATTTTACCGCGACGGTAAATAGTGAAATCTATCATCGCTTATATTGACGGTTTTCTTTATTTTAGATCTGCGCAACATGTTCTATTAAGCAGTTTACAAAATTGGATTAGCTTAGTCAATCTATCTTGCACAATTTATTTGAATGTGATTGATGCTTTAATCTTTCATGACGTCTTGTATTATATTTATTTACTTTTGCGTCAAATCAAAAAGTTATAACTTGAAAAGATTTTGTTCCATTTTACTTTTTGCTGAACAAGGAAACTCGTGATAACCTTTTGAGTTGGCATCATAGTAAATATTAAAATATGGCGTTTTATTGCCGTCCAAAAAAAGTTTTTCCGTAGAGTTTTTCCGTGAGTTCTTCCGTAAAGTTTTTCCGTAGAGTTTTTCCGTAACTAGATAGACAATGAACTTCATTATAATAAACGGTACTGGTCTTCTGTCAAGAGATATGATAAAATTTTGGAGATTGATCCCAACTCTCGTAAAGATTACTGTTTTGTTACAAAACAACATAGATTTATGTGAGGCCGATGTGTGATGTTAACAAAACAACATAGATTTATGTGTAGCAGATGCCTGATGTTAACAAAACAACATAGATTTATGTGCGGCCGATGTCTGATGTTAACAAAACAACATAGATTTATGTGTGGCCGATGTCTGATGTTAACAAAACAACATAGATTTATGTGTGGCCGATGTCTGATGTCAACAAAACAACATAGATTTATGTGTGGCCGATGTCTGATGTCAACAAAACAACATAGATTTATGTGTGGCCGATGTCTGATGTCAACAAAACAACATAGATTTATGTGTGGCCGATGTCTGATGTTAACAAAACAACATAGATTTATGTGTGGCCGATGTCTGATGTTAACAAAACAACATAGATTTATGTGTGGCCGATGTCTGATGTTAACAAAACAACATAGATTTATGTGTGGCCGATGTCTGATGTTAACAAAACAACATAGATTTATGTGTGGCCGATGTCTGATGTTAACAAAACAACATAGATTTATGTGCGGCCGATGTCTGATGTTAACAAAACAACATAGATTTATGTGTGGCCGATGTGTGATGTTAACAAAACAACATAGATTTATGTGTGCCTGTCTGATGTTAACAAAACAACATAGATTTATGTGTGCCTGTCTGATGTTAACAAAACAACATAGATTTATGTGTGGCCGATGTCTGATGTTAACAAAACAACATAGATTTATGTGTGGCCGATGTGTGATGTTAACAAAACAACATAGATTTATGTGTGGCCGATGTGTGATGTTAACAAAACAACATAGATTTATGTGTGGCTGAACACTGACGTTGATTAAATCGCGGTACCTTCTCTAAAATCTTAAATAATCTTAACTGGGGAAATACAGCAACAAAGAGAATGATTTCTAACCAGAAAGTTTAATATACATTTTGGGGACGGCGTGGTCGAGTGGTAGAGCGCTCGTTGTCAACCCGAAAGTCACGAATTCGGATCACGGACGAGTATATGTAGGATTTCTCTGAGTCCATCCAGCTCTAATGGGTACCTGACTCACTTTAGGGGATGTAAATGCGACTGGGCATAATGCAGTCCACAGCATCCTTTCATACGCCGATGTCAATAAACATCTAAAGCGTGTCTGCAATATGGATCTTTAGGTCTTAAAGTGGAACTTATACTTTACTTTAAAAATTGAATTTTAGCTGTCTTAACGTCAACGAAATCATTAGATTTTCGGTGACATATTTTAAAAGTTCAATCAGATTAGACGTCCAAACAATTGACATAATGAATGTTTTTATTGACCAGATGAATTGGCTTGTAGTGGCCCAATGTGTGGTCTACCTAGCTGCGACTTCCGTACATGCGCAGTCGTCAGGTATCACGTTTGATGCCACCCCCCAAGATGGCGCCGTGTCTCTAACATGTGCCGTGTCTGGTACCGGTACTCTCTACTCCATCTCCAGCCTCGTCATCGAGAAAGAAAACTCGGTAAGTCTCAGCTGTTGGTAAAAGTGGTGAGGCTAGTTTTAATTTATCTCCCTTTGACTGTGTGTTTTATACTGTGTACGCTACATGTATGAGCTCCTTTACTTCTATACATTCAAATGGTTTATTTGTATTGTAAATAACTCTTTTATATCGACATATTTATACAGCGCAGTGAAGGGGGTATCAAATGATGACAACCTTCCCCAAACGTGTATCGTACGAAGACGTCACAAAAAGCAAGAACCCCGTCATAAATAATCATACTAATCCACCTTACTAATCCACCTAACTAACAGAGGCGTAGCTAGGGGAGGGCGGGGAGGGCGGCCGCCCCGGACGCCGACCCTAGGGGGGCGCCAAAAGGAGTAGAAATAAATTTTAAAAGCTCATTTTAAGCTGCAGTTTTGAATTATAAACAGTCAAAGTAAAGAAATGTAACGGCTGAGAGCCTTTGCATACTGATTTAACTGTTTTCTACCTTGACTGTGTAACTGTAAAACGTATATCCTTAAAAAACACTGACCGGAAAAACCGCTCTCCAGCTTTCATAGATGGGGGGGGGGGGGCGCTTTTTCGAAGACTAAATTCGGAAAATTATCACACCGGAATAAGGAATAAATAACCGATATCACTCAGAAAAGAAACCCATTGCACTAAAGCGTATTTTACGATTGTGTAACATTAAAAAAAAGTTAGTAACGTTTGAAATCCGCTCTAGCATTTATGTCCAAGATGAGGGGGGGGGAGCGCTTTTTCACCAACAAATACCGCAGGATTTGTATTAGATAACTCTTTTAACACTTAGAAAAGAAATCAATTGTATTAACACTTAATGTACGATTTCACTACCCAGTTTTGCTAAGTAATAACGCTACTAATTCTTAGTACGATTCTTACGATTCTCTCAACTTCAATGTGAGAGATCAGATACTTTTACTTGATTGCATTACATGGGATCACTTAATTAAAGAGAAATAAATATCACGGATTTTTGTATCGCTATCCGATCAGTAAAATAGCAGTCTGTCGGGGCGGGTGGTGGAAAGCGACACTTTTTGCCAAATTTTTAAAAGAGAAGAAAATTAGTATATTGTACTGAATAGATCATTTTTAATTCCTTTTTTCATAACACTTTGGTCAAACTAACTGTTAAAATTTAAAATTATAATATATGCCTACTATTATCGAAATTGTTCTAAAGACACGACCAAAAGTAGATCAAATAAGCTTGCACCTTCTGCAAAATACACCCTAAAGCAGTGGTTCTTAACTTTTGGAGGTACCGAACCCCACCAGTTTCATATGCGCCTTCACCGAACCCTTCTTAATAGTTTTACCGCCCACATTGACAAAATCTGATCGTGAATCCTATGAGTCAGGTGTGTGGCTTGACCTCCGCGGATGCCCTGAGACCGAATTACCAAACCTCTCGGGTTCTATGGAACCCACTGTTCTAAGCTCTTTTGATTTTCTTCTTTTTATTCGTTTCGGCTTCATAAGGGACATCGGCGTAGGCAACACTTCGTCAACTCATTTGTTTTTTTATGAAGTTCGAACCCTAAAAATCAAGCCTCCTCCTTCTCTATTTCAAACGATTTCCTTCTGGACTTGTTTAGTCTTTTTGTCTTCCTCTTACCCCATGGACTTCATTCAAGCATCTGCATAATGATGTTATTTTTTGTCTTTCTCATATTGTGTCCTAACCACCACTTTTTCTTTCTCCACTGTCTTTAACCTAGCTATGAGCCATACAGTAAAAGATACATTATATTTAGCTATAGATCCTGATTGAATTTTTTTGACAATGCATTTGAATTCCATATCGACTTAGAATGTTAATACGTATTTTATTGCGGTGCCACTGTTATTAAACTGGTTATTACTGCTTCTTTAACCAGTACAATTAGTTCTGAATTAGTTGTTGACTATGAGCGAGAAGGCAGCGCACATCTGTTAAATCCAAGACTTCGAACTGTTGGGTCCGTTGGATTCCAATTTGTTTCCTCTAGCTTGTTTCAGTATACAATTAACCAGTCAACGAAATACCCATATCGTATTCCAATGTGAACAATAATTTGCTATTGCATGTCAATTGTATGACCTTAATCTAACAAACTTATAATCCAAGTATGTACTATATCAAAACAGAGACTGTTCCAAAGATAAAACATAAAAAGACTGTCCTAAACGAATTAGCATCTTCGCCAATTTTTTTTCTGACATTACTGATCGTCATTTTCTAAAGGATAATGCATTTTAAGGGGAGTTAAAGTTTTAGGGAACGACATTCATACTGCGTAATTACTAATTTTTTACCGGACCGTCGCACACACATACACACACATACATACAGACATATATATATATATATATACATATATATATATATATATATATATATATATATATATATATATATATATATATATATATATATATATATTGGGGGGGGGCGCCAAACTGAAAGTTCGCCCCGGGCGCCGGGAAGGGTCGCTACGCCTCTGCTAACTAATCCACTTTACTAATCCACATTACTATATCGAAAACCAGTGTTTCTTCCAGACTTTTTTCTCCGGGGGGGGGGGGGGGGGGGCACTTGAAATTTTCGGGGGGGGGGGGGCAGTAGACTTTCGTCGGGGGGGGGGGGGGCGGACACTGTTAAAAGTATATATTTTCTATATAAATTATATAAATTTCATTTTGCCTGCAAGAAACTCTGTCCAAAACAACTAAAATTAGAATTGTAATGAACAATACTCCAATTATTTATGTACAATCCGCCTTCTGCCTTGTAAAACAAAACTTGCGATACCTTCCTACAGGCCGACAACTACCAGCTACTACTTAAGTACACCAAAGGAAGTCCCTTAGAGTTCAGCAAACTCCTGACGTCAAGAAGCGTCAAGATGGCCGCCTCCAGTGGCTCGGCCTCCACCGTGCAGGTGACGGTTGGTGTAGCAGACGGCAAGTTCAGATGTGTCGTCAACGGCCAGACTAAAGCAGGGGCAAGTACTCTGTTTGATTCTTTAAAAAATATATATTTTAATGAGAAAATGTGACAAAAATATATTTAAAACTGCAATAATGGTTATTCCATATTTTAAAATTTATTTTATATTAATTAAGCTTTCTTTAATATGAATATTTCATTAAAAAAATAAAAATTGTTTTAAACGATATGATCAACTGCAGGGAACTGCAAGAGGGGAAGCGACTGTGACCGTCTCATCTCAGTTCAAAGAAGATTATGAGGAGTGCGGGTGTGCTGACATGGTCTCCACGCTAGAGAACAAATACGACAAGAAACTCAACGAGATTCAACAATCTGTCACCGCCACCACCAACAACTACAACATCGGCGGGGACGGGGGGCTGGGTGGTCTGGATGGGGATCAGCTGCTCAGGTAAACACGTCTAGGTCACAGGTCAAATATGTAGGTCACTTGTAAAACATGTAGATCACAGGTAACACATGTAGGTCACAGATCAAACATATAGGTCACAGGTAAAACCTGTAGGTCTCAGACCTCAGGTAAACAAGTGTAGGTCACAGGTAAAACCTGTGACTCTCAGACCTCAGGTAAACAAGTGTAGGTCACAGGTAAAACCTGTGACTCTCAGACCTCAGGTAAACAAGTGTAGGTCACGAGTAAAACTATCAGACCTCAAGCTTTTGGGGCCAAACTCCACATTTTACGTTGAGAACAAATTTGAGTGTTAGAACATTCAAATGTCTACTAGATCTAGAAGTTTTCTGAGTGAGTTTATTCACAAGCACAACACTTGACGAAGCTCAAAACGTCACATTTAATGGGCAGCTGAGTACACGTTCTTAAATCTAATTACGTCTTCTTCAAATTGGACTTGCATGTTTAAAGAACATATATTGTGTGTTGTTTCTAACCAAATGCTAAGCACGCATTAAAGAAGTTTCTTAAGCGTACACTGTTAAAGTAAAATGAATAAAGTTCCCTTTACGAACCTGACGGTCCATGGGGCAAGTGAAGTAGAGTTTACCTGTTTCTTTGACTTCGACATATGAAGAGATAGTTTGGTCAGCGCTATGCCCATCCTCCTTTACTTTCCCCTAATTGAGTTCATACACTCTAAACCTACTAAACCTACTAAACCTACTAAACCTACTAAACTTACTAAACCTACTAAACCTACTAAACCTACTAAACCTACTAAACCTACTAAACCTACTAAACCTACTAAACCTACTAAACTTACTAAACCTACTAAACCTACTAAACCTCCAATGTATTGTCACCAGGAGCACCGTTTGGCCGGAGTGGTACTTCAGCCTCCTCCAACCGGAAACCGGCTGCCCTAGCATGGGCTTCTCCTTCCTGGACTGGAAGACCGACGGCTACCGGCAGTTCCACACCGAGTCCACGTCACCCCAGAACCAGGACAACATCACGGCCAACGCCCACTTGAAGAAACCCTACCAGCTGAAGACAGGCAACAACAACTTCATCGTCCTGAGCTTCTGTAGCATAGTAGGGGCACACCAGGGACCGAACTGGCCCAATGGCTCCTATTGCATTATGATGTACGCCGGCGTCTGCCCGCCGGGGTTCCACGACGGCAGCATTTTCTGGGACGAAGAGAACACGCTGTACTCTGGGCGGTACGGCGGGTTCATCCCCACGGCGGCGTTTGGCGCCGATTCCAGAATCTACTACTGCTGCCGCCGTGACGGCAAGCCGGAGAAACCAATGTACCTGCCGACAGCGAAGCCGTTCTACCTGTTCCGGTTCGGTGGGGTGTGTCAGCAGGTGGCCAACATGAAGCTGACCCCGGAGACCGTCGTGTTCGACACGGAGGACACCGGTGGCAACATTGACCAGTACTTCAGCGAGTACCACCCGGATGGTCAACTCAACAACGTCGTCCTTGAACTCTGCTATTACTCCAGATAAAACCCGGATATGTTAGTTACGTCAGAGTTTACTTGATGTTTAACGTGATTTGAATTTGTTCTAATAAAATCAGATCATTGTAGTAATTTGTCATTGTAATATTAAGTTTTCAAAAATAAAATATAAACTTATATTTGAAAGTATTTGATATTTAATATAAGATTTGAATCAGTCCAAATGAAGTCAGAAAAGTAGATGTTTGTCGAGTAATTGCAAAATGTTTTGAAAAATATACACAACTTGTAACTAAAAGATATTAAAGTAGCTTTGAAGAATTTCTGTGGGTTTTTTTTGTTTAATTTTGTATTTTTTTTCGAAACATGTTTATTCTGTTATGCAATCGAATTCTGCTGGATAATTAAAATACAGGGTTATCTTTTAAAGCTATTGAAGACAAATGCGATGGTCTATGTAAGTCAATATAAATGTGATTATTCCACGCAACATCATCACAACCTTCCTATCAGCACTCCCTGTAAGGATTTCAACATTCCCACCATTCCCTGCACCAATCCCTAAGGAAATATCAACCTCACCTCCACCATTCCCTGCATCATTCCCTATGAAAATATCAACCTCACCTCCAACATTCCCTGCATCATTCCCTAAGTAAATATCAACCTCATCTCCACCATTCCCTGCATCATTCCCTAGGTAAATATCAACCTCACCTCCACCATTCCCTGACCATTCCCTAGGTAAATATCAACCTCACCTCCACCATTCCCTGACCATTCCCTAGGTAAATATCAACCTCACCTCCACCATTCCCTGTTGAGACACCTGTTAATGTATCAGCTGTAATGACGATTTCATTACAAGCTATAAGCCTAACTACTGACTACCTCTATGGTGTATTAAAGAAACGGAGAAGTTTCTCGAAGCTGCTGTTAGTACCCTATGTAAAAAAAAAACCCTATGTTTAACTGTTATTCAAAATAGTAAAATATCTAAAATATAAATGTAGTTACTCTACATTCTGTACACATACATTTTTTTATTCCTAAAAATTAGCGGTATTTTTTTCGTAGAATGGTCGGATGTGGCCCACGGCTCTTACATTGGCGCTGTGCTCCGTTCTTGTGTTGGATGATGGTTTTCTTCTAACAAACTACAAGCTAAAACACTTGGGTACAGTCTAAAGAAACTTGTATTATATGAAACAGGTGTAGCTAGCTCGGATACTTGCTATGATTGGGCTACACAACAAGGAATATAAATAAAACGGGAGTGATCTCTCCTAAAACTTTCTAGAATATTTTTACAAAACACTAATGGGGTGGCAACTCGGGATATACACATGATTTTTAATTTATTTTTAATTACTTAAACTTTTGGAAATATAATAGAATCTCGTAGACAAAAAGAATTGCGAACCAAGCGAACGGCAAACAATATCTGTATAATAATGCGGAATATTAGTATTTATAAATTCATATTAGGTTTTTTTTAGAAATCGGAAATAGCGTAAATTACTACTTCCGGTCAACGGAAATTACTCAAAATTTGACAGAAGGCAGAGAATTAGATCTTTTACTTGCATTTCTTTCTTCTTCTTCTTCTTCTTCGTTCTTAATTTTTAGTGTTGGAAGTGATTGGGCCTTATCTGCCAGAGGGTTTGAACTCGAGACTTTTTTTTCGAATGTATCCACCATGAGCTTTTGGCGACTCGGCCACGCCTCCATCACAATTAAGGATACGTGTCAACTGGTTATGCGCCATTGAGGCCATTGACTTCGATTTTAGCCTGCTTTTCTTTTTGGATTCGCTTCCATAGCCTTTGTCCAACCAAGAACAAACTACAAGGCAGCAGTTGTTTGATTTTGGAGTTGTCTCTCCTAGAAGAGTGGCTGTCCCCAGCTACTTAAATTTGAAATTTCATTTATCTATCTGAAATAATACTAAAGTTATATGCTTTTGAAAAATTGAAAGTAGAATTACACATTTTATATAATACTTATATATGAAATTTCATCAACCTGGCTGTAACGCTACTCGATTTATCTTGTTCACAGACATACACATTCACATACAAATTCACATACACACATACACACATACACACATACATACATACACACAGAGAGACATACGGACAAAATTGCAAAACTATGTTTTTCCGACTCGAAAACGTCGATTTTCTGCACGATTATAATACTTCGTATACGAGAAAGTAAAAGCGAAAGATAAGCTATTCAATAATGTGGTAGTGTAGTACATTTATTCCTTCTAGAATTTTCTGAACTTTTAATCTCGTAAACAAACTACTAGCCTTGTTTGATTGGTCAAGCTTTTAATGTGACTAATAACCTTGACCCCTTTGTCGAATAGGTAATTAGACTATTGGATAAAACTTAATTCGACTGTAGGTAAATGAATTACCATACATTTTGATGCTAAATGACTTTTTACGCCTGAGGCGTCAGACTGAATTACCCCTAATCGTAATGTCTACTGTTAGTTGTGTTTACATTGAAATTGAAGTTGTTGATTTTCCTCTGTACAGTATAGCCAACAGCTGGCGGAGTGGATGGCAGATGTTGGGTCGCTCACAATAGGAGAGTAAATAACAGAACAATTAGTGAATTCTGGATACTGTAGCTGTGTATGTGTGTGTGTGAGTGTGTTTGGGGGGGGGGTGCACAAATCATGTGGGGTAGTCACAGGACCAGGACTTTGAATATATTTCAAAGTCAAGCTCGAGGCTGGCGTGTAAAGTTGACTGTGACTTTGAGATTTATGATTGTAGAGATGTGGCTTTAAGAGTGACTTGTAACGTCCCATATAAGAAAGTAAAGACGGTCTATAAGTGAAGTAGAGTTAGCCTGTTTCTGTGACCTCAGCATATGAAGGGGTAGTGTGGTCAGCACTATGCCCAGCTGCCTTACTTTCCTTAACATTAGTTAGGAACTCATCAGAGCTGGGTGGACTCAGGGACATAATACTTACTTGAACCCGGATTCGAACTTTCTGGTTAGCAGTCTATTGCTCTACCGCTAAGCCATACAGTTCCACCCCATGATAAGCGCAGTCCGAAAATGATGACTATCATAAGAAAATGATACAATAGCTATCATCAGACAATGTTACTTATGTGTATCATCAGGAAAAGATACTTGTTAGCTATCGTCTAGCAACATGCCGTATAAAATGTGTAAGAATTACCAATGACACAAAGTGAACACCACAGGCGGATCTAGGGGAGGTTATCAAGTCAGCAGCCCCTAGCCTCAAACTATTTACGTCCCCTTAAATAAATGTTTATAAGTTTGCGTGGTTATCTCCCCTACCAACTATTTAGTAGTTAGAATGCTTTAATATTCTTTTCTTTTTAAAAATAGGGCCTACTTTTAGTTCACCAAAACAAAAAATAAATATATGCTCCCGAAATGGACACTGTGTTCTTTTTATTTGTCGGTGATCATGGCATCGTTTAATTTTTATACGTTAAATTTGCTGATTAATTTTAAAAAGTTTTGTCTGATTTATATACATTTTTTTTAAAAGTATCCACAACATGGGTATTAGACTAAAAGAAAAAGCGAAAATACCACCCCCCTCCACACCACACGCATTAAAACATCATGCACCATTGATAATGTGATATTCCGTGTAGCGTAACACCTGGTCACGCAATCGAGATCAAACCGTTTCATTGTTCATTTAATTACTCATACAATTTTTTTTATCACAGATAGCTTTGTTTAGGGGAGGTAACTAAATAAACATATATTTCGTCATATTTAATGTGTTGCCTCCCTTGTTTATACAAATATTTTTTTTCCAAATAATAGCTGAAATAATTAAATTATTCATATAATAAATTAACACCATAATGAGACTATGGTACAGAACAATATTTTCACAATATAATTACTTTCAAAATTTTTTAAAACATTGGTTTGTAATCTAGTGGTAATTCGACAAGCCCAAAAAATATCATCACACACCCTTTACTCCCATCCCGGGCCAATAGGATCCCAACATTAAACAACGCCCCTACCCTTCCGCGAACTTCAGCCTAGTCCATCCCTCACCCCCTAAAAAGCCATCTCCACCCAACCCCCTTCTCAAACTTCCCACTTCACATTGGGTGTGGAAGAAAGAGGGAAGGGGGGGGGGGGGGGGGGCAGAAAGTATTTTTTTTTAAATAAAATAGCCCTTCAAAACTTTCGAAGGCCTATGGGTAAGGTGAAGTATAGTTCACTTGTTTCAGTGACCTCGGCATAAGAAGGGAAAGTGTGGGCAGCACTATGTCCAGCCGTCTTTACTTTCTCTATCGTGAACTTTTTTTAAACGTATTTGCTATTTCCACGGACGTCGTGAGTGTGTGTATTTGTGTTATATGTGTGTGTGTTATGTTTGTGTTATGTGTGTGTTTGTGTTATGTGTGTGTGTGTGTTTGCGTTGTATGTGTGTGTATGTATGTGTATGTATGTGTCTGTTATGTTTGTGTGTTTGTGTTATGTGTGTGTTTGAGTTATGTGTGTGTGTGTTGTGACTGTGTTTGTGTTATGTGTGGGTGTGTGTTTGCTATGTATGTGCGTGCGTGCGTGTTTTTTGGGGGTTTTGACTTTTTGGGAGGGTACCCTAAAACAAATATAATTCACTACGAACGGAAATCTATAAATCTTAAACAAATGCTATCTATAACTGTCTAATTACGTGTGTGTATCGGAAATCTTCATGTCCCCTGCCAAAACTGTATGGCGCTGCTAAATCTCTCTCCTGTATGGGTTTATTGACCGGGAATCTCCGCAATGATAACATGAAGTGGATGTTTATAAGCCGTGTTTATAAATATTTGGCTACGTACAATGGGATAGGTGTTCAATAAATGTGACCCTTTTAGGTAAACTTACACCCCCGTACACGTATATCGTCGCCGAAAGTCCCTAAAATGACGTCAAACTTGACGAAAACATCGCATACTCTGAGAATTTTATTTAGCATATCCAGGTTTTAATTCACTAATCAATTTTTATTATATTGCACTACAAAGGCATTATTTTTTGTTTTTAATGGTAATATTGGAGGGGATAGCCAACATATTTATTAGCATTACGTGTCAACATGTTTTGAGCCATATGGTCCGTTAACTCCGATTTCAGCCTGCTTTTTTTCTGGATTTGCATCCATAACCTTTGGCAGCAGTTGGATTATTTTTAGTTTTCTCTCCTAGATGGGTAGTTGTCCCCAGCTAACGAACCTGATCTGCACGGGGTCTGAACTCGGGACTTTTGGAGTTAGCAATCATGTGCACACCTTCAA